TTTAAAAAAAACCCATCTTCCTCTTTTTTTACTATTAAAAATGAGAAAGTCAACATGCTGTCCTACATACAGCACTTGTCAATTAAATTGTTAAATTATTTTATCACTATGCATTATGAAAAGGTTACTACATGTACCTGTAGGAATGAAGTTTTTATAATTTTTGTTTAGTAACTTTACTTACTTTTGTGTATGATATGATAAATGTTTGTATGAAGGCTGTATGCTAAATGTAAATTGCTTCGCTTATAGCATTTATTTATGGTTCAAGATTGACTTATTATACAAAGAAAGGTTTAAAAAAAAACATGAAAGAAGTTTGTTGTTACACCAAAATGACTACAGTCGACTCTCATTATCTCGAAGTCATCGGGACCGTCCAAAAAATATCGAGATAACGAAATGTCGAGATAAACATATAAGGGTTTGAATAAGGCAAAAACTTATTTTTACAAAAGACATGTACATACCTTATGTCAAATAAACTATGATATCCCCATGTCTTGTTTCGATAGGCCTAGTAAAATTTAACAAAGTAACAATAGCCGATGTTTACCAGCAGAAATGCGGGTGTCTGTGATAAAAACACATAGTGAGGTTTACTCAGTAAAACACCAATATAGTGAAAACTTTGTTTTCAGGGTGGTTGATCCGGATATCCTGCCGGGTTATTTATGGGGTCTCGAGATTGTTCGATCGCTGATTGATTGGTGGTGATGTTGTGAAACAATATTGCAATGATAGCGTTTCTATATTTTCACTATTTCATTTACATTTAAAGTCATAATGAATTGATACAGTGTTTGAATAATATAAGAACGTAAAATTCACTCATTTTGGACATAAGTCAATCAACACGCTAAAAAGATCAACTTTTATAAACCGCTAAACTTGTTACAAATATAATCATCATTATGACACGCGCTGTTGAGCAATTATCGTCTAGTTTATGTTTTTCACACGTCTGAAGGGAACAGACGAAAGAAAACTATTAGTCGAGATAAACAAAGGCTAATAGTGTGAAAATAACTGTTGGGGCTGAAATTTTACATCGAGATACTGAAAATATCGAAATAAAAATATATTGAGATAAACAAATATTTCCAATTCAGATAAAGAAGGAAGAAAATCGGGACTTTCAAAATTTCATCGAGATAACGAAATATCGAATAAAGCGATGTCGAGATAACGATAGTTGACTGTATAAAAAGAGGTCTCAATTATATAATAATGGATGTAAGAATTATATTGTTTGTTCTTATATATTTACAGTGTTTACATTATGTGAAGTTTTACTCTGCAGTAGAGGACTATATCAAAAATCTTTCCTCATCATAACATCGGCTATAGTGCTTTATGCTTTTCACAGGTAACCTATTATTTATTGTATTATAATATTGTGAACTTAAATAATCTTATTTATATTGATAAAAACGATTTGTTTTGTTGTATATGTTGTATATGATCTTTGAAGTGATCTTTTTTAGGTTATTCACATCAAAGAAGTTGTCTCCCTTGACAACAACTGTGAGTTCATCTGTACATGTAACAAAGGCTTTGGCTGTAATGATCTACTACATGATAGGAACAGAAGATGAGCTGACCATATATAGATGTGTAACTCTGTATGTACTGTCTGCTGTCATTGTCAGAATTATCTCCCTTGAGGGACAGTCTGACCACCAAGTGAAAGATGTAAGAAATTATATTAAATTACTGAGAACTACAAGTTTCAATACTGAAATCTCTTGAATTAACCATGGAAAATTCTATATTTAAAACACGGCAGATCCATAGTACAATTTTAATATGATATGAAATAATGAATATGATTTCTGTCAAGTTTACATGTGTATTAATTAATACATATTCATAACAAGCACTTTAACATTTCCTCTGTTTTTGTCATGTCAGTGTTTTTTAATACAATAAAAATGAATATAACTTTGAAATGCCATATTTTGTTGTGTCTTTTAAAGACACATAGAATGAAATAATTTGTCAATAAGGTAGCAAAATGTAAACAAAGTAGTATTTTGACTTTCATACAAAATACTAAATCACTATAAACTATACTCATTGCTAGATTGCAAAGGAAGCGAAAGATGTCTCAGCTATATGGAGACAATGAGTAACTTTTTTGAAACTATTACAGGACACCAAAAATGACAAGCTTATGAAAAATAGAAATTTATGCTTTAAGTAAATTGGAAATGTTTGTATTCATCTTTTACAGGTATTGTACAACATTATTGCTTTGTGTGTTGCCATAGTAATGAACAGCAATCCCATACTGCACTTGTTATGTGTATATGTATTGTGGGAGGAGCCAACCACAACTGATATATTAGGTATAGTATAACATCAGTTAGTTTTACATCAAGTAGGAGTTGTCAGATGAGGAGATGAAGTGGTTCAGTGATAAGTGCAAAACCAGGGCTGACTGTTAAAAACTTGAGGTCTCATGCAATGATGCTTCACACCTTGTAATTTAAAGAACAAGCTGTATTTTCTAGTAGAGAGTAATTACTGTATATATTCAGACATCCTCTTAAAAAAGGAATAAATTACTAGCAATCTGTTTGAAGGAGTGGCCCATTTGTGTTTCTGTTGGCAACTTTAAAGACAGGCATATCATATACACAGTGGTCAGATGATCCAGATTTAGATCATTGAGATTTCTGTAGATAGCTTATCAACATACAATTTGTTGCTTCATTATTGCATAATCATTCACTATCCCTCATAAACATAATATGACTGATGAATTATATTTTAAGGGCGTCTGTGGCCAAGTGGTTAAGGTCATTGACTTCAAACCACTTGCCTCTCGTCGCTGTTGGTTCGAGTTGCGCAAGTTTCAACGGATTCTACATGTGAGAAAGCTATACAGCTAGGTCACGGAATGTCAGTGGTTCTACTCAGGTGCCTGTGATAATGCACAGAGGTCCATCTGAGGTCTTCAGCCACCAGTGAAGCTTGAAAGTCTTCATTTGATTTCTACTGTGTTAGTGAGACCAAAAAATAACCAATTGTTTCAATATCATTGATTCCAACATGAAGTTAAATTTATCTCTGTTTTTTGAGTGTAGGCTTAAGTGTGATGGTCAGTGGTGTGAGTGTAGTAATAGTTGGATCTCTACAGCTACCTGAAAACTCTGTTCTGGCAGCTAGGCAGGTTGGTACTGTTTGTGCCAGCATGGGTGTCCTCATTCTTGTACTCCAGCCACAGGTAACCCCAGCTTGGTATGTAGCATTTAAATGTTTACTTATTACTCTCACCTCCACATTTCTAATCCAGTCATTGGTTAAACTTATATGTTTTATGCTTTTCTTTAAAGTAGACAAGTTGGAATTAGAGATTAGGTCATGTTTTTGATTTTACATGAAAATACTTATTTCATGTGTTTTTGGATTTTTTTATCCAGTATTGAAACATATACTGACAATAACATATACAATATCTTATATATTACATAAAGATATTTTACATTTTCAAGGGAAATAACTAATGGATTTGAAGAAGTAATTGCATTGTATAGTCTAAGTTTCATGCTTACGCACGTTCACCGACTTTACAGCTATTACCCCTGGTCATCGGGCTACTGGTATCTATCTATCAATCTCCCTGGGGAGTCTTTTAACTCCGCTTAGTGCAGCCGACACTTTGGCGCAACGGAATTATACCACCCTCACAGGTACCTATTTACACCTGGGTGAAGTGAAGCAATCGCAGGTAAATTTCTTGCTCAAAAAATTAGCAGTGCCCCTGGTGGGGTTCGAACCCGGGACCTCTCGATCCCTAAGCGCGCGTCCTACCACCAGACTACTGCTCCTGTGAAGCAATTTATTTAATTTATTATTTTGTTTTATTATAGGATGACCATACTGCAGTGGGGTGATTTAGCTAGTGTGGTTTTAGTGGCTTGGGTGTTGTTGTCTAAAAGACAGTTCTCCTTGCATGAGCTATACACACTGGCAGCTACAGCTGGGATATGTCCTGGTATCCGAATGTCCATGCTGGTACGTTATACATGATGTATATAAACTGATGTTTGACATTTTTAGATGAAAAATATTAGTGATCATAAGTGGAATTTAATGTAAGAGGTTCAATGTGATTGAATTTCTAAATAAAGCTTTTTTTATAATGTGAAGTTGTAGATTTCAAACTTTAAAACAACAAACAATGGCATTTCCTGTATTTAGAGAGCTGTAATTACAGCTGTAATTTGCATTTTAGCAGAAAGAGAATGATATGATACTCATCCCTGCGTCGCAGTTGCTGTCATACTTTGGTTATGTTTTTACTTGCAAGTTGGTATCCCCAAAACTACTGAGAGAGTGGGTTTAAACTTCACAGAATTATTCTGTTATTGATTATCAAACATGATAGGCACAGGTCCCATAACTCTGAGTTACCTTTTTACAGAGTTATGTCTCTTTTCTTACTGTCACACACTGAAAATAATCAGAGAGAACTCTTTACAGTTTTATACATGGTTCTACCTTGTCTTATTCGTATTTATATTGCTATAGTGATATATAAGTTACAAACTAAAAAGATTGCATCTCTTGATTGCAAGAATATTTTAATGAGCCACATTGTTGTTGTGACTGAGAAAACCAAACATTTTACTAGAAAAGTGTAAATAGTATGAGACTTTACAACAATGTGGTATATTCTCTTGTTCTGCTATTTTTATGACGGAAGTGAGTAGCTGTACAGGGTCATACTGCTAGCCAAAAGTATTACCCATTTTTAAGTCACATAGTAGTACTAGCCTGTATGGCTAACCACTTCCTGTTAAGAAAGCAAGGTGAATTTTTCATACAAAGTAATATTTTTTCTCCAAGTTATCGTATCTGAAATATATGAACTATTTTTGGTTTCAGCTGTATACATACACCGAGGAGAGCCATGTTTGGGCTGCGATTGGTCGAGGATTTCTCTTTATCCCAGCATGCATCTGTATAATATCCTTACTGTTCATTTTCCTAAAAATAGATACAGCGCAAAAGGAACTGGAGAAAAATTTGTTGACATTGTAAGTAGATTACACAAAATAGTTTAAATTTCATATTGATTTTGTCAAGTTAACCTAACACTTTGTAATATGAGAATTTGCTGTAAGTATTTATTTCTCTCCATTTGATTTTAATATGCATTTTGTGACTGCAATAAAATTAAGATGCAGCATCATGAAAAGGTTGTACATGTAATTCTAAATGATCTCATAATGCCATTGTAAAGCTCTTCAATCTCTCTCTGCTACCCACCATCCACTACAGGTTTTAAACCCATAACCAGCAAATGATAGAATCCAAAATGATAAGTCTTTACCATTTGTGCAGTCTGACCAGATTATACTATTGGTAGCTAAATTGTTGTACTTTGATATGAATATACCCTAAACATTGAATGAATTGTTTCAAATTCTAAGCAGCTAAAAATAACATACCTAACTCAAACAAGCTATGTGGATAATTTTCTGGAATAACTTTCTTTTTTGTTTGAAATTGAAAGTAGTTGAACCTTTAGTTTAAATATGAATAAAATTATTTTTATTCTACTTATCATTTGATTTTTTCCTCCCACAGATGCTGCAGCCTTGGGATACTTTCCATAATGTTGCTATTTTTAGACATGGGTCTCCGTGACAAGAATGAGGCTTTTATGTCACTTCCTGCTTGGAAACTTTCCTTAGTTACAACGGGACTAGTCAGTTTATCATTGAAAATCCTCTCTACTACACAGGTATTGTCTGTTGTTTACAAAGTAAGAGAATAATGTTAGAAATACTACAGTCTTTATTATAATTACCATCCATATAAGTAAATATTATAATTATTTGAAGAAAAAAAAATACAATGTGATGATGAATTTTCCTATGTGCTTGTGTAACATTTTATCGATAAATAAAGATCAGTCCTGAGTAAAATTTAAGAATGTGCATTTGAGATTTAAAGACATTCAGAATGTTTGTTTCTTTATTTGTTGCTTAGTTCCAAGTCCATGCATAGGTTTATTCAGGTGAATATGCAATAATGTTAACTAATTTATAAGGCCTACATGGCCAAGGTGGTTAGTGTTAAATAAAGACTGATGTGGAACCACTTTCCAGTCACAAATTTCATTCAAATTTGAATTTTTTTATGGGAGGAAGCTTTTCAGCAACTAGTAACCTATTAAAATTAGTTGCCTCGTACACAGATTCAATTTAAGCAGTGATTAATAGTTGGTTGGTTCATAGAATCTGTGTTTACCAGTTAAAGCCAAATATGTCTATATGGCCATATGAGTGTAAGTATTACCTAAAACCTATTCATGTGAAATATATATGATCATTATATAAACTATATTCCTTTTTATATCTGATCAGGATCTGTTGATACCACTTGTAGAAGAGAAAAAAGAGAAGGAAGTGCCTCGTCTTCCATTTATAGGAAATATATCCAGTATTCTAACATTCCTGCTAGCCTGTATACAGGCCCCTGTTCATGGTATTTTATATGACATTTGGGTATGTATGTCCTGTATTTTCTTTAAAATTTAAACAAATCATTTGTTGTAAATTGAAGTATCTGAATATATACATGTATATGTATATTATTACTTGTATGAATAATTACAGGTTATAGCGCCTAGTATAAATAGTTTAAAGCTTATATAATGCAGGCAACTTTTTCACAGCTGTATTTAAACTGTCAAAAATTCTTACAATGAAATAATGATACAGCACAATTCCTTTATTTGAGGTAAACTGAGCATTGCTTCATAAATTTTAAACAACAATGTAAATAGATAATATAGCCTCTTTGATTATCCAATGAAAATTGACGATGCAAATATGCAGTATTGTAAGATAAAATGATGTTGAATTCAATAACATTAATCCTTTTCCTGTTTGTGAATATTTATTTAATTTTTGTCAGAAACTTAACAAGTATTTATTAAAGTCTATGTTTTCTTTATGCTTGAAATACTAAATCAAGAATTTTTGTTGAAACATTAAATTGTATTATATCCATAATCTCATGGATAACTTAAATGGACTTGTTAGCACAACAGTAAAGTGGTATTAGGGGGAATAGGAGACTTTGTACTTTAATATTATCTCTCATGAACAGACCAAATCAAACCAAGATTATATTGTTGTTTTCATTGCTTTCAAGGAAGCACCCCTTTCAAGATTTTAATGCCCCCCACAGAGTGGGAGCATATAGCGTTGCACTTGTCCGTCCGAGTGTCCGTCCATCCGTACGTCTGTCTGTACGTCCCGAAATCTTGTGAACCCAACTCCTCTTAAACCGGATGGCAGATTTTGCTTAAACTTCCAGGGATGAACAACCTTAATGTGTAGATGGTAGTAAAGGAAGGAATTTTTGCTACGACCAAATTTAACAGAATTATGGCCCTTTGTTGATTTTTTCACTATATACTATGTAGAAATTTTGTGAACACAACTCCTCTTAAACCGGATGGCAGATTTTGCTTAAACTTCAAGGGATGAACAACCTTTATGTGTAGATGGTAGTAAAGGAAGGAATTTTTGCTGTGACCAAATTTAACAGAATTATGTCCCTTTTTTGATTTTTAGTTTTCAACTTGTGGCACATGTAGTCCAAAAAATATTTGACTTAGAGTCATAAGATTGACAGAACAGTGGAGTGTGGGGGCATCCGTGTCCTATGGACACATTTCTAGTTTTCAACAATTTCCATTTTGAATTTCCATTTTGAAGCAGTCTGGTAACAATTTAATGGGATATTTGGATAAAGATTAGGAAAACTGATAGCCAACAGTGTAAAGCCTGGTCATACTTAATGTATATTTAGACAGACCTGGCATTATCATGATTGCAAAGCATTGCAGTCTCAGTTCCAATATTGTATTGGTAAACAATTTCACAATGTTGTTGTTGTTGTTTAATTTCAGTGTTGCGGTGCATCATTGATCCTGTTGTGTTTACAGAAAGATAGAAGACTTTTATACAATATAAAACAAGAAAACCAAATAGTGCCAACTATATTCACATGCATTACAATTTTATATATTTCAAGTATAGTACACAGTGATTTATGGACTTTGGGAGGATTGTCTTTTGTGCGTTCAATTGTTGAAATATTGTCTCTACTGTCAGTTTTACCAATGTTTTATGTACTGTGGGGAATATTATGGCAAGCGAACCTTGTTTTATCAGAGCAAACTGTGGTGTTCTTGTTACCACTAAATGCTGTGTATCTGTTATACGGAAGTTCATATACAAGTCAGGCATTAGCTGTTGTAGGACTATATGCAGGAATTTGGATGATGATGATGAAATTGCCGCTTCGTCCATACAAGACGGATGAGTACTGATGATCTTGACACAAAATGAGAGAGAAAAATCTGTCAGAGATTACAGTGTTAAAGTGTGAAAAAAGTATTTTTTAAAGGTGATGGATGGTTAACAACAATGCTGTAGAATCAATGCTTTTGTTATATCATAATGTTAATAGAAGATTGATTCAGGAAATAGTTTAAAGTGTTAACAGTGTGATATAAAAAGAGATGAGAAAAAGTAATGATACGTTTGGCAGTGTTAGAGTGATTTATAATGTTAAAGATTTACTCGAAGAAAATTGACATTAAATGACTATATGGGTAAACAGTGAAGGAAATAGTGCTATCAAGAGAATAGATCTGCCATATGTTCTGCTTGAATCGACACAAAGTTTTTCTAAGCTGTCGTTGTCAACAATTATTTCAGTGCTTCGAAAATAAACTGTTTTAAAAGGAATGCCTCAACTTTCGCTAGATTTTTATATTATTATAATTATAACATACAGTAGGCATTTTCAGGAATCAAAACAGTCATGCAACTTACGCATGGAAAAGTAAAAAAACAATAAAAGAACTTGTGTATGAAAATTTATAATTGAAAATGATGTAAAATATTTTATTAATAAAGTTCCAATTTTACTATCATTGTACAATTCTTTATCATGTGACAAAAATGATTGAAATAAATTCTTTTATGAAAAAAATTTTTTAAAAATTTAAAATTTTGTTCATAGTAAAAAATTAAATACAAAAACCGACAAAAAACAAAAAATGTTTAGTTGTTAGCAAAAAAACCAATTTGGCCTTTTTTTTTTATGCCAAGCCTGAAAAATTTGGAATTTTTGACGAAATCCTCGGGGAATGTGGTCCCAAATATTTGCTTTTTCTGTATCCTTTTTAAAAATTGTTTTTTGTCATATCTACTGATAGTCAACTGCCACAATCGGCTTCAAAATCAAAATTTCTACAACAAATTTCCATAAAGTGAACAATTTATGACTAAATTTATTAGTTTTACAACAATGTGTAATATACATTTAGAATGCTATCCATTAACCATCAGTTCTAGATTTAGAATAAAAATGTTGCAAAAGTGCTACGCTTTTATATAACCTTTTAATTAAATTTCTATCTGATCAAACAATGAGTTAGCCATACATATAGCGTTGTTACCAGTATGTTATATTATATATTTAGTCATGCTAAGAAGTCTTTGTTACGAAAACAGCTTTAAACATCCGAAATTGTTGCATATTTGCTGTCCTAAAATCAGAGATTGATTAAGAAAATCGTTTTTCGATACTTTCTGTACATAGCTCTCGGGAATTCTGTACATAGCTCTGGTGAATTCACCTAATGGAGTGTAATAGCGAACTCGATGTTTTCGGCCTTTTTAAAATTAAAATGAAATAAAATAGTTATTTCTTTATAAGAAAATAATTAAATATCATTGTATGAATAATTCGATACAAATAAATAAAGTAAATACACAAGTTTACGCAGAAAATAACCTTATTTATTATGGAAGATTCGACTACGTCTGTATTAATTTTATTGATTTTCATTATAAACAATTTTTTTTTGAAAAATTTCCTATTGATATTTAAGAAATAATGATAATTTTCAAATACATAAATTTTTCTCACCTTAAACGGTAGAATAATGATAGAAAAATAGAAATATCATGTAGTTGTGTTGTGTACTTCATTCGGCGTAATTCCCCAGAGCTAAATCCGTAATGTACCAGTAAACAGTGTTTAGCTAGGTTTTCCGAGTGGTAACTTAAAACGCTTAGACCTAGGAACTTCAAACTTGGTATGATGATTGCTCATGACCAGTAAATGATCCCTATTGACTTTGTGGTCAAGTGATCAAAGGTCAAGGTCGCATTGACCTTGTAGGTAAAAAGGGTTTCAGAGTGATAACTAAAGAACGCTTATGCCTAGGAATTTGAAACTTAGTATGATGATTGTTCATGACCAGCAGATCACCCATTTTGATTTTAGGGTTAAGAGGTCAAAGGTCAAGGTCACATTTACCTTGTAGGTAAAAGCGGTTTCTGATCAATTATTAAAGAACGATTAGGCCTAGAAACTTCAAACTGGGTTTGATGATTGTTCATTAACATAAAATATTCCCTATTGATTTTAGATTCAAAGGTCAAGGTCACATTTACCTTGAAGGTAAAAACAGTTCCGATCAATTATTAAAGAACGCTTAGGCCTAGGAACTTCAAACTAAGTATGATGATTGTTCATGACCAGCAGATCACCCGTATTGATTTTAGGATTAAGAGGTCAAAGGTCAAGGTCACATTTACCTTGAAGGTAAAAATGGTTTCCTATCAATAACTAAAGAACGCTTAGGCCTAGGAACGATCTTCAAACTTGGTTTGATGATTGTCCATGACCAGCAGATGACCCCTATTGATATTGGGGTCAAAGGTCAAGGTCACATTAATGTTGTAGATAAAAAGGGTTTCCGATCAATTATTAAAGAACGCTTAGGCCTAGGAACTTCAAACTTGATATTATGATTTTTCATGACCAGCTGATGACCCCTATTGATATGTGATCAAGGGGTCAAAGATTAAGGTTGCATTGACCTTGTAGGTAAAATCGGTTTCCTATCAATAACTTGACAAGCTATGGGCTTTTGGTCCTCAAATTTTGAAAGTGCATTGGTCTTGGCCAGTAGATGACCCCTAATGGTTTTGGGGGTCAGGGAACGAAGGTCAAGGTTGCATTCACCTTGTATTTCAAAACAGTTTTCTATCATTAACTGGACAACCAGTGGACCCTTGACTGTCAAGCTTTACAAATGCATTGCTTTTGTTCAGAAGATGACCTACATGTTGTTGTTTTTTTGCGTTTAGGGGTCAGAGGTCAACATCACAATGACCTTATAGGTAACAACGCTTTCTGATCAATATCCCAACTCATAGACCCTTTACCTTCAAACTTCACAGGTGTATTGGTCTTGGCCAGGAGATAACCTCTATTGATTAATGGGTGTAAATAACTCAACAACTCAAGTTGCCTTGGTTGATATTCTTTATTAAACTAAATTTGGTATACACATTTCATGGTCTTATGTTATATAACAACTTGGCTGTCATTAATGAGGCCTACATGATTCATAAAATTTATGCATATATTATTTGGTAAGATTTGAAATAACTATATCAGAAAATTGCTGCACACAACCTTTGCGGTCACAATTACCAAGTGACTAGTCATAAAAAGTACTAGTAATTTACCCTTATTGATATTTTGGTCACTAGGTCAAAAGTCAGTCATAATAACCTGATCACATGACTAATTGGCTGTCGATAGGGGGCATACATGTTTTACAAACATATCTTGTTGCTAAAGATCCTTCACCAAAATAGCTTTTGTCATTAGATATACAACATTTGATGGTCGTTTTAATATTTTTAGATAGCGGATTATTAATTGTTCCAGAAAAAAAATCATTATCCATTATATTCTTGCTTACTAACAGATTTAATGCATTTGTTTTAAAGAAATATTTGGTAGGAATATCCAAATGATATATTTGTATTGATCTGATTAATATTTGAAATACTTCTGGAAGATGTTCTCATTATAGACCAAGATTACTGTAACCGACTTTTCACGTGTGTCTATTTCTACATTATGAATGTAAAGATATAAATTAGTCTGGATCAGAATGTTTTCTGTGTGGCATGATTCACATTCCACTATACCTTTTTAATGAGAACTTTATATAAATCAATTTGATGCTGACAAATGCATTTTGTGTATAAGTTAATAGAAATACCACAGTATCAGACAAGTATATATTTGATTTGATTTATCAAGTCATGTCAGTTCTTTAAACAATAACATCTTTGCCTAGCAATATTATTTTTTCAATCGAGAAAGACATGTTCTGTAAGTCAAGTAGGCATTCTTTGCATTAATATATACATGTTTACTCTAGTGGAATGTAAGAATGCAAAAAAATATATTCCCTGTTATATTTAAGACAATTACTGAATAGTGATCACTGATGTTCCAACTCAAGTATTTTTCTAATAGGAATGTGAAAATATCGAATATATAATACAGAATTACGTACGCATGTCTTTTTCTTTACAGCTGTACGCCAAAATATCATTTAAGTCATAGGAGTTCAGCGCATCTCATTCTTTTGTCTGGGTAATTTAAATATTGAAACTAAATTTCTCACATTTGTTGTTGTTGTTAATGATTTTTTTGTTTGTTTATTTGTTTTTTTTTATACATGTATAACGTAATGTCGCTCATTAAGAAGATACACATGGAATTATTTTAACGCAGATAAAATTTACATTGACAAATCTAGAAAAATCTAATAGACTTTGACCTCCAAAATGAAACAGAAATATCTAATACATTTTAGCTGCTAATAAGTACCAAATCTGCTTTTCAAGAGAAAACTATCATTGTCACTGAAATCATTCAGCTCCTTCAAACTCATTGGAAGGAAAAATGCAATTGTCTGCTAATTGTTTCACATGCATGTATAAAGCAGCTTGCACTATTACAAGATACCAATTGCAGGTACATATGTACATGTATGTGCAAAACAACAGTGTATCAGTCTGGGGTAAATATGCATGCATTAACTGCCTTACACTCGTCTGTTCTATTTATCTCGGTCATAAGTTTTGTATATGACATCTGCTCAGCTGTACTTTTCTCGCTGCATGAAATATAATTATGTTCTGACAGTACAAATTCTTCGAGTACAATAGTCACTTGAAATTTATTTTGTAAACATTATTTTATTCATACATATTCACTTGTTCAAATACAGTCTACTTCACTTATAACGAGATCGGTTTTAACGAGGTACCGCTTACAACGTACATTTTACTGTGTCCCGGCCTTTTCCTTCTATTTTCCTTTCATTATATATCGTTTATAACGAGATCGGTATGTTTTAAAGTTATATCCATCCGTCTGTTCAGGTAAAAGATACATTACATCTCGTTTATCAGAAGCAGTTTAATATTTACAAATATGAGAAAGTGACTTCATGTGCAGATTTTAATAATTTAATTATTCGTCAAAATGTTATGATTAGCCGTACAGAAGAAACATGCTTGGTATATTACTTACGTAATAGTTAAACACTTGTAAGAAAAGAATGAAACGATTTAAAGAGCTATAAAAGGAGCGAGTTGGGAGAGATTGTAGCAGGCAAAGCAATTTTGTAACAAAATGATCATTGAAAAAGTCTAATTACCGGTGGACCCAAGTTTAAGCGATCACTAAATTTAACCGACACATTTAAAACAAAATCGAAAATATGCACCCCTGCTTCTCTTACGACGACATTGAAAATTTCATTGCAATAGACCTTCACAAGAAATAACAAATATCTAACTAATTATTAAATAAGAAATAACAAGTAACGATAAATGTCTTTTCAGAGCTTCCGTAAAAATGTTATGAAATTGAATACCAACGAAAATATTATTTTATTTCGAATATTATATGGTCTAGTCTTAAAATATATCTGACTCTTCCTAAAAGAAAAATGTACTGCAACAAACAAACAAGACAAAAAAGGTTAATCGGGAAATTTTATTGTTTTAATCTAATCTCTTCAATAACATAAAAATTACAAATCTTTTTACGCGTACTATTGCTAATTATTCTATATACCAACACTT